ATGCAGGACTAGAGTTAAAGTATATTGTGTTTCAGCACAGTTTGGTACTTATTATAACAATTATTAGACTTTTAACAGGGGCAATCAGTATTATATGCTTAATGCTGGACGTCATTCAAACCGATGTCTAGACTCGTAGGAAGGCGCTCAAACCACACTAATTCGATCAAGGTCGTATAAGAATACGATGAACTTGTTCATAACAAATGGTTATCATCATCATCATCATCTTTTAATCATCCCTCATTGTAAATAACATAGTTTAAACAACGCGGCCACAATCCAATACAAATTGTAACATTGTTTAATTTTGCCCATAACTGGAGACGCCTGTAACATAGATAATGAAGTGATTTTCGATCCAACGTATTTCCCTTTGAAAACTCACTACAGACAATAGGGATCTCAATGCATGTTAGGACATAGGCTTCTGTTTGTCTTCTAATTCTATCGTTCCAGTCAAAATTAATGAGATTACTATATGACATCTTCGTGCCCCCCCCCTCCCCCCTCCCTCGGCATAATAAATGTACTTTCCCTTAGACACAATTTCTTCAAAAAGACTACTWATTGATTTTTATTGCATTTTTGGAGCATTTTTTAAAGTGGAAGATTTATATCTAAGACAAAATCAAAATCTTTGGCGATTAAAGAAATCCAGGATCTGACAATTGAGTAAAATTATTTTTACTCACCAAAGTGTAGAGTGTAAATCCAATAACATGCATTGGATGTCTTCAAAGTCTGAGATTTCCTTTAAGACTCCAGCGCAGTCGTTGAAAACATGACTGGTGTATCACTTTGAGTGAAATCTTTGTCTAAATCTGCCATCATGTCGATCGCATGGTCTTATTTGGTCGCCAATTTCACAATTGATGGGCTGCCTGTGTCATCGGGAATATCCATGAAATTTAAAAAAAGATTTTGATGTTGCGCATGCACGGCGGCTGATATTTCAAGGGAAATACTGACAAATGTTCAGTTCACAGCGATATATGTTCTCTGGGTCGCAATTTTCTGCATTTGTGTAAATCCAGACCACCATGTTGGTTTATTTTACAGTTATTTATGTTAAAACTTTTAACCGTGTCGTTAGAATTGAATTAATCATGGGATGATTGGCACAGTTTAACTTTGGCGGCTTGTGCAGTTTGCATGCAATTGTTTTTTTTTTCTTTCTTTTTCGTATAAGATTGAATAATATTGAGCAGACCTGAGCAGCTAGCTGTCAGAAAGTCTTTCTATGCAATGAATGCATTCTGGTATTGTGAAAACGGTGGGAACTAGCGGTAAACTAGTGTGAGCTGAGTCAGTGTTTCAAAAGAAACAGTTGTTTAAAACATTAATTTAACACCGTAAAAAGATTGCAAACAGAGAAATAAGGACGATTATTAGAATGTTTTGATATCGTTGGCAGCAATAAAAAGACCGGAGAGTGTTCTGATGGCGACTAGCGCAATATCAAGTATCTACTGAAAAATTTCATTTTGTTCACATCTCAAGATTCCTGTCTTTCACTTCTCTCCCTTTTTCTGAGTCCATTAGACTCAATAAAAATTCTGACGTTGCGGTTTCCTCTGAAGACGTGTTGACTCCATAGAAACGAAAATTGCAGAAAACATCTGAACTAATAATAATATGTGGTATTTATATAGCGCCGATATCCTMTKAGTTCAMAGVMGCTTCACATGTATAGATCATTTCACACGGACCGCTGTTTAAGGYGCAATTGGCAGCCACGCGGCTTACAATCATGAGGGGTTAGTAATTAGTATGGGTTAGTAGTAAGGCCTAGCCACACACACCGGGAATCATTCCCTACTCTTATGCGAATAGTGGTGCTGGTTCTTTAACGTCCCTCTAATACAGGTTAGTGAGTGAAGTGTAGAGAGACGGGACCTCCGATTTTACGTCGTTATCCGAGAGGACGMGAAGATCTTACCATTTGCAGATGGAGAAAGACAAAGGCAGCAACTTCTCCTCAATTATTTTAAGACCCTGAGTGTTGGTCCGGCCAGGGTTTGAACCTGCGACCTCCCGCACTAAAGTCCGATGCTCTACCTACTGAGCTAACCGGTCGGTGTCAGTGTTTTATTTTTGCCCAACGCAAAGAGCCAAGATCAAATAAAACTCAGACTTCTTCACACATAACCTTAAGTTTAGCTGTAAATTAAACTTTTTACTCGAGTTTAACCCGCCTCTGAAATGCGGTATCCGGTAGACAAGTTTTTTATACGAGAACAGAAACAAATTAATTTGAAAAGGGGGTCAGTTTTAACTCTTATTGTTGTTTTTGTTTTAACTTACATTCTCCTTAACACAATATATAAGTAAAATCAAAACCAGCAATAAGAGTTTTTCCTGTGATTTCCTTTCTTGGAGTGATTTAACTGGAAAATAGTCAACCAGGGCATACATTATAAATTAATATGTCGGATAGATGGTCAATGGCATTTTCCTCGTTTGGAATATCGCCACTTAATTAAAAATAAAGATAATTAAAACAGCTATTTCTACATTCATCTAATAGGTCGGTGCTGAATAAATGGATAACATTAAAATATTTTATCATGGAATATTTTTCCCGATGATTGTAGAGTAAAGGTAATCAACCGTGTGTGTCTGTCTTTCAAGGAATTCTAGATTAATAAATTAGCAGGTGGACACTAATTATGAACAAGTTAAAAATGTAAATTTTGACCAAAAATCTAATTTGAATGCAGCTTTTAGATAACTGTGCTCACTGTGCTTCGCTGATCAGCCATAGTGACATCGGACAACGAAGGCGGAACACATCTCCAGCTAGCACTCATGAGCACTAACAACTCATCAGTCGCGGTCTATTGCTACTGGAAACAGGACAGCGACTTAGAAAGATCGGTAAAATTCACTGTTTTGTCGACGTTCGGTATTTTGGGAGCTTTGGCGAATATATTTGTCATTGTACTGGCTGTAAAATACACTGTACGAACTAACCTACATCACCTTATTATCAACATGGCCGTGTCAGATACTTGTTATATAATACTTATGATATCTTTTTTTGCTGCAAGAATCATGCATGTCGCTTTGTTGAATCTTATTGCCTTTCAAGAGTATTTCCGGTATGTCTCGTTTAACGTCTCTCTAGCGACTCTCTTAGTCATCAGCATTGAGAGATTTCATGCAACAAATCAAACTTCSCATAGAGTACAGCCATACACGCTAAAACAACGTATGGTAGTGATCAGTYTCTGTTGGGTAATTCCCATGRTCATCAATGCTTTCATATTGTACGGCTTTGTCAAGCTATATAACATGGCGACATTTTCTTTTGACATGRTCAAATCACTGACAATTTATCTTTCCATSGTTCACGTTACTTGTATTCTTGCATTTATTGCAACTTTTGTGCTYAGTATTTTATCTGTGCGAAGATTGTCCAGGCTTCACGCCGTCCAGACGCTCCCTAATCAAGACCTGAGAAAGAAGAGGGCAAATCAGATATGGTCAGCGATAAGAATGGTTCTTGCTTCTGTACTTTTGTACATGTTTTGCTGGATGCCTTATTTTATCCACACAGTTTTGAGATATTTGAACCTCATTGGATTTGCCATTTTCAGCACTTGTGCTGACTTGAGGTCAGCTGATTTCGCTGTGAATTT